CAGCACATGATGTTTACTGTTTAATCATTCAATTAAAATTATGCCAATTATGAATTCTTGTTTAACAAATGACATCCGTTTGAGTCCTAAATACGTATTGTCATGAAAATATCTGCAATTATACATTAAATATCCCCAAATATCCATTTTCTCCTTCTGAATGTATATTATATTGATATTAAGGTTGTCAGTCACCGTCAAGCATAGCGAATATTTACTGTTTTTCATAATCCAAATCCAATTGTATAGCTATATATAGATAGATAGATATATAGATAGAGATAGATATATAGATAGAGATATATAGATAGAGATATAGAGAGATATATAGATAGAGATATAGAGAGATATATAGATAGAGATATAGAGAGATATATAGATAGAGAGATATAGAGATATATAGATAGAGATATAGAGATATAGAGATATAGAGATATAGATATAGAGATATAGAGATAGATATAGAGATATAGAGATATAGAGATAGATAGATAGATAGATAGATAGATAGATAGATAGATAGATAGATAGATGGTTTATTCTGTCTGTGGTTGTTTGTCCATACATACTCAGTGCAGAGGACTGTGCACATTATGGTTTGTACCAACCAACGTTTGCCAATTACCTTAATCAAATTTCACACCCCACAGGGGGATAGACTGTGCCCGGATCAGATAGCAAACATAAGTTGATTAAAACATGTTTGCTAAAGCTTTAGGAAATACACAAACTGCTGGCTGAGAGAGAGGATGAAAAAACATCTGAAAAAAATATATAACTGCTACTGTGTGCTGTAGAAAACAGGTTTAAATGGTTCAGTTATGAACATTCAAGAATATCAGACTGATTCGTTCACCTGATTTTACCAAAAATAGTACAAAAACAACACGTCAAATGTTTGCTGAAGATATTTTTGAAGCTGCTACAGAACTGCAACTCATTTTTTAAACAATACTTCGTAAGCATTTGATGAATGGAAATACCAATTGTGCTAGTTTTTATGTAGTCTATTGTTGCAATGCTGCTGGAACACAAGAAGAATACATTGACTGGATTATATAATCTGTTGCTCCAAAACCTGTATATATTGATTAGCATTAATGCTGCAATAAGCATTAATCAAAAAACCTGATACTGAGGTTATAAATACTTGAGCACCAGTATCCCCAGTAATACTAAAAACTACTTTCGGATTAGTTACTGATTTGCAGCTACTGTTCATGTGTTCAGCTGCTAGTGAGGGGAGGTACAGGCAGCCTTATAGCCCCTCCCCTCACTAGCAGCTAAACACGTAAACAGTAGTTGACATTCAAAACAACCAATGGACATTTTATGAGGAATTTTGTGAGCTCAGTAAAGCTTGTGTATGAGCAACACTTTTGAACAGTTGTCTGTTAAATTATTAACCTTTCCAGCAAACGTTACCATTAGCCTTTTAGCTTTAACAATCAATTGATTGTTAATAGCTGAGGCAAAGTGAGCTGTGCCCCAGAAAAGACTGCAGTCTTATTTATATATTTTCTCCTTGCATGGTGGATTTTTAACTGTAGTGTTTATTGACACTGGTTTCGGATGTGTTCCTAATCCAGTGTGGTCATTTCCACTATAGTTGTGCCTGCATTTAAAAGAAAATAGAGATATCTGCAATTCAGTGTTAGCATATAGATATTACAATCAATTCTCTGAACTGTGTAAATTACTTTATGTACTCCAGATGATGAAATTCCCAAATTTTTTGCAGTTTTATGTTGAGCAAAAACTTTCCTAAGCAATCATCCACAGAGTGGTGAATCCTTCCCATTTTCACTTCTCATCTTCACTGGGATGTTCCTTTATATTCCCACTTGAGTATAATTAGCCTCATTAGTTAGCAATGTTCCATCACTGTTACAGGCATGAAAATTAGCATTGATTTTACAGTAGAAGAAAGACATAAAAATGGCTCTTATATTTTGTTATAAGTTTGAGTTTCACGTACAAAAGGTTTGCAATTTCTTCAGGTAATAATAATGAATCATTACTAAAGTCATAAATCTGTCGTTATAAATGTTAGCAAGTCATCAATAAAGGTTAATGAATCTGCCATTTAAAAGAAAATAATTTCAGTAGAATAAATGTTGTCAAAGTCATTAATAAAGAGTCATTAGACACACTCTAATAAGCTGTCACCAAAGGTTAGCAAGTTATTTGCATTTCTAAATGTTAATAAATCATTTATAAAGGCTTTTTAAAAACAATAATCAATCATAGCTGCAGGTGTAAATGTTGAAGGAAGAGGTTTTATATGTATATATTTGCACATTATTAACAAACTCGACCTGCTGAAGCCTGATATTAAATTCAAATGAACTTTAGAAAGCATTTTTAACACAGAGTGGGGACATACGAGCAGGAGGAATGATTACATGTGCGCATGTGTGAATTGTACTAAGACAGAAAACAAAGGCACCGTAAATGTCATGCAAGAGGGTGAACACCAGCCAGAGGGATTTTTCATAGCCTGGCAAACCATACATTGTTTTATTACTGGCA